ACTTTTGGCAAATTATGCAGACGTCTTTTCAAAAGGAGATCATGACCTTGACTGCACAGACCTTGTAGAGCACAGAATAAAAACAGACAATCACCATCCAATAAAGATCTCTCCAATGAGAATAGCTCCAGCAAAACGACAAGAGTGGCAGAAGGTCATGGATGGCCTAATTAAGGAAGGGATAGTCGAGAAATCAGATATTCCCTGGTCAGCACCTGTCGTGTTAGTCCAAAAGAGGAATGGGACCCAACGTTGCTGTATGGACTTCAGGGCTTTTAACAGTATAACTGAAAAGGACTCATACCCACTGCAAAGAATTGATGATACTCTTGATGCCCTAAGTGGAGCCAGGTGGTTTTCAACTCTGGACTTAAAGTTGGGTTTCCATCAAGTGAAAATGGCTAAAGCAGATAAACCTAAGACTGCATTTAGTTATGGGCAAGGTCTCTGGCAATACTGTGTGATGCCAATCGGGGCTTAGCAATGCTCCAGCAAAATTTGAGAGGCTGATGGAAAGAGTACTGGAAGGCCTACAATTGAGGATAGCCTTAATGTACCTGGATGATGTCATTGTGTTTGCAGCAACATTTGATGAGGAAGTATCCCAGCCAGATGAAGTATTCAAGCATTTAAAAGCAGCAAACCTCAAACTCCATCCCTAGAAATGCCACTTGTTCCAGAAAGAGGTGCTTTACTTGGGTCACATTGTAAGTAAGCATGGTGTGCAAACTGATCTTGACAAGGTGAAAGCAGTGCATGAGTAAAGAAGTTTCTTGGGACTCTGTACCTATTTGTGAAGGACTTTGCAACTATAGCTGCTCCACTACATGATTTGACGAAAAACGGCCAGAAGTTCAAATGGACAGTTTCTTGCCAGCATGCTTTCAAGACATTGAAAGAAAAACTGGCCTCAGCTCCACTTTTAAGGCTTACAAATCCCCCACTGCCGTACATACTGGATTGTGACGCTAGTAATGTCAGAGTTGGAGGAGTGTTGTCTCAGAAAGTGGGCGAAAAACGAACATGTGGTGGCCTACTTCAGTAGGGTGTTAAGTAGACTAGAGAGGAACTACTGTGTAACACGGAGGGAGCTCCTTGCTATAGTAAAGAGTGACATATTTCCATCCTTACCTCTATGGTGCAAGGTTTACCATCAGGACAGACCATGCTGAATTACACTGGTTAAGATAATTAAAGAACCCAGAGGGACAACTGGCACGTTGGATCGGAAAGATAGACCAGTATAATTATGATATTGAATACAGAGAAGGAAAATCTCATGGAAATGCCGATGGACTGAGCCGAAAACCCTGCAAAAATGACTGCAGACATTGATACAAAAGAGAGGTTGAACTAACCGGGTGCCATCAAGCTGAAGTCAAAGTGACTGAAGGAGTTGATGAACAGGAGAAAGATCAAGATTTGAAGCCAATAATTGATTTTCTACAAGCAAGTGTTTTGTGCCCTGCTTGGGAGAAGGTGTCTAGCTTAAGCCCTGTGACAAAGAACTATTGGGCACAATGGAACCAGTTGAAGCTTGAAGATGGTAGTCTTCTCCAGAGATGGGAAACTGCAGATGGGAAAGTGATGACCTGGCAAACAGTTATACCATGAAAATATAGGAGTTAAAAAGACATTGAGTCACCTATGGCAGAGATTTTAATGGATAGGTACGAGACAAGATGTGGAAGAATGGTGCAGGACCTGCAGTACATGTTGTGCTAAAAGGTGACCTAAGCATAAGGGACATGCTCCAATGAAGTTAATATCAAGTTGGTGCACCAGTGGAAAGAGTAGCCATTGAGATTGCTGGTCCGTTGCCCCAAACTCGTGCTGGAAACAAGTACATTTGGGTGGTGACAGATTATTTCACCAAGTGGCCTGAGGCATATGCAATACCAAATCAGGAAGCTACAACTGTAGCT